TAATCAAAACAACAGCAGCAATATTTTTAACTATGGCAGAGATTCTGCAATATATTAAAAAGTAAAGGTAAAGGTTCCCCTCGCACATATGTGCTAGTCGTTCCTGACTCTAGAGGGCGATGCTCATCTCCGTTTCAAAGCCGAAGAGCCAGCGCTGTCCGAAGACGCCTCCGTGGTCATGTGGCCGGCATGACTAAACACCAAAGGCGCAAAGGACTCTGTTACCTTCCCACCAAAGGTGGTTCCTATTTTTCTACTTGCATTTTTACGTTTTCGAACTGCTAGGTTGGCAGAAGCTGGGACAAGTAACGGGAGGCGGTGCTAGGGAATTGAACCACTGACCTTTCTGATCGACAAGTTCAGCACCTTAGTCATTGAGCCACCCTTGCAATATACTACAATGTTTTATTTAATAGTAGTGAATTCGTTGGTAAACCAGGGACTATTTTTAAGTATAAAATATCCTTTTTTTCTTCATCTTTATAGTTTGCACTTTCATTTTTTCTCCCATTTTTTTTCTTTAAAATTAATGCTTGTTTTATTATTATTATTTTTAAAAAACCCTCCAGTGGCTTTGATCCGAAGCTGACGTACTGGATTTGAATTGCCATCCTCCGCATCCTGGGAACCTGACCCACCGGAAAGAGGCAGGTCGTTCCCTAAACGGTGCCTTGGGAGATTCAAGTGTCAAGGAGAGGTCGCGGGCACGGTAAAAAAAACAACAACGGAGCCACGAGGAGGGAGAGACACGAGTCCGTGCGCGCGCAGGGCTTAAGCTGGGGATTCCGCTCTTGTAACCGTCTTCCCGGGAGCTCGCGGGCGTCCTTCCTCGGAGAGCGGCAGGAGCAGGTGCCCAGAGAGCGAGAGAGCCAAGAGTGAAGGGAAGTGCGCCTGCGCCGCCCGTACGGCCTCGCTTTTGGAATGGTGGGAGCTCCACATTCAGTGGGATCTGCCCGGGCGGGTTCGCATGTGAGGTGGGGGGAGAGGAGGCGGCGGGGGTGACGTAGAGATCGTTATCTGCATCTGGGAACCACCCAGCCGGAGCCGGCTGTCGGGCCGCTCGCCTCCCGCCCCGCTTCTCTGCGAGAACGTGCAACCGAGCGGAGTGAGTAATTCGTAATTCCTCAACAGCACCGAAGGCTGCCCGCCGGCTGGCATACTTTGCATGACGATGGTCCTTTTTTAAAAAAATATTATTATTATTATTATTATTATTATTATTATTATTATTATTATTATTATTATTATTATTATTATTATTATTATTATTATTATTATTGCTCTTCTTTGTATTATTATTACAAAATCTTCGTTTTTCCTGCCTTCTCCCGCCTCCCTTTGTGGGTCGCTCCTGAACTCCTAGCTCTGCCTTCCTGGGAAAAAAAGCTTAAAGTTTTGGACTCCGGGCTGCTTCGGAGCGAGCCCAACCAACGAGACAGGAGAACAAAGGGAAAACTGAGGCAGTTTCTGCCTCTGACGGTCGTTGGAGGAGCAGTTTCTCCCCCCCACCCACGCCGCGTCCCCGCGCGCGAGCCTTTCGATTTTTTTTTTTAAGAGGCTGCAGTTCGGGGCAGAGAAAATCGTGGAGCTGATGGGGAGGATGGCGATAGAGGCTTATGGAAATAGAGGTCATCCGGGGTGCTTTTAAGGTTATGGACGTAAGGCTCCCTTCACTGCCAATGAAGTCTTACTTCAGAGTAAGCGGGTTTGGGATTGGTCGGGAAGTCAAAGCGCCCAGAGGATAAGATGTGTGCGCGCTGCGGGTGTATAAGCAGAACCTTATGGCAGAGGCGCTTCTTATATTCCGGCTGCTTGCATGCGGATGGAAGAGGTCGGGTTAATTGATTTTCCTCGCTTTCACTGGGTTTCCCAAGATGGTTTGGTTTAAAAAAAATTTAAAAAATTCCAGTGCTAGACAATGTCTTTACGCACAGCTCAGCAGATGTACAGGAATGTTGCTGTTTATTTAAGAGGGCTATTGGATCCTGGGCTATCTAAAACAAAACAAAACAAATAAGAAAATGTGAAATTGTCTGGCTTTTTGCAGCTCAGATCTGGTAGTCCTCTTTTTTTAAGGCAGGGTATACAAATGCTCATTTTCTTTTCTTAGGCAATTTCTTCAGTTCTGCATCCCCATTGTGCTGGAGGTAAATGTTAAAATGCATGTTCAAAATTGTATTTCTTTGTTTTGCGTGCAGTTCAGAAGCTCTTTGTTTTCTCAGTTATTATTTTGTTCCCTGTTTTGGGGAGTTTCGTATAACGCCAGCCTTTTTGTATCTGGAACAAATTGTGACTTTGTGTTCAGAGAATCTGTTGTACTAATATTTCTAACTGAATATTTATTCTGTCTTTTAATTTTAGCTGTTAAAAATAAAACAATGAATATGTCAGGTTTTGCTCTAGAAGTAGTAGAAATAAATAAAAGATACTTATTGCTTGATGTTTGTGTGTGTTAGATGTTATTAAAAATTGGGAAAAATGAAAAAAAAACTTTACCTAGTGTTGTCCTCAAATGTCTCCCTACTTTTTAATGTAGCAGGACAGATTATGCATGAATGTATATAAATGACATGCTTTTCAGAATATTAAGATTGATCCAGACTTAAACTGGGTTTAAACAATTAGGAGAGGGATTTTAATGGAGATCAGGGATTCCAGCCATTCTGTGTTTCTATTCTGAGGTGAGAGCCTGATTATAGTCTGTTCTTTTCTAGCCTCAGGGAGCAGCAGCTGGGAACTACTACTGTGAGAAGACAAAAGCAGCATGCTGATCTTCTGTGCATGATTTCTCCCCCCCTCCCTCTGCATTGATAGACATGTCATCTGAATACTTTAACTTGGAAACAGGAATAGTACATCTTCAGAATCTACAGTCTTATTGCCAATGATGCAGGCAGTCAAGGACCCTCATCTAGAATGACAGGGCATCATTAGGAGCCATGTGGGAATGAGTCTGCTGAGGGGGAGTGGTCCAGTTCACTTTGTTTAAAAGTCAGCTGCTGGCAGAGGAGAGCAGGGTTAAGAAGTATGGAACTACAATAAAATCTGCTGGACATGTGCTCTCATGTGTTCATGTAACGGCGTTGAATTGTAGGGTCTCTTTTTTCCAGAGTGGCTTGGAGAGATCTGGAAAGCCATAGAGGATGATTGTTCTTGGGCTGAAAAAAGCATAAATTTGACCAAGGTCATGCATATAACAGGGAATTAGTAATTCAGCCTAAACCAAGCTTGCTCTCAGCATGCTTTTATCAGGAATAATAAAGCACCAGCACCCAAACTCTCTTGGAGAGGAGCAACTAGAAAAGCAAGATAAGAATTCTCGGTCCAAAAGCTTGCCAATTCTGAATGGGTCCGTTCCGCAAATTAATACCACACAAAGTGCTCTCATCGCAGCCAAAAAGAACTTCTTACAGAGTTTGCAGGGGGGCTCTGATCAGAGATGTGGCCTTGACCCCGATATATCAGCACCTCATAGTAATGCTATTGCTACTTCTTCCAAGACAGTGTTGTCTTTTACACCTTCAAGCTTTTCGAGAATGGGGAATTTCACTGAAAGAAATAATTGCAACAACTCTGCTAGATTAAGTAATGGAGTGTCACCAGCTTCCACACTGCTAGTAATGCCTGGTAGAAAATATCTTGCTATGGTATTGACAGACTCTCGATTCTTTTTGATATGTATGTGTTTCCTGACTTTCATTCAGTCACTAATGGTCTCTGGTTACCTGAGTAGTGTTATCACTACCATTGAGAGAAGATATAGCCTGAAAAGCTCTGAATCTGGGCTATTGGTCAGTTGCTTTGATATTGGCAGCCTTTTAGTAGTGGTCTTCATCAGTTATTTTGGTGGGCAAGGGCGAAGGCCTCTGTGGCTTGCTGTTGGGGGTTTATTTATAGCTCTTGGGGCTGCTGTATTTTCTTTACCTCATTTCATCTCTGCACCATATCAAATCCAGGAATTAAACTCCTCTGTTTCTAATGATGGCTTGTGTTTGACTGGAAATTATTCAACGAAAGGGCACCTGGAATCATCAGGCTGTCTGAAGAATTCACGTGGAAATGGCCACTCACTCTATGTAGCTTTGTTTATTTGTGCCCAAATTCTCATTGGAATGGGCTCCACACCTATCTACACTCTAGGACCAACCTACTTGGATGACAATGTCAAGAAAGAAAACTCATCACTCTATCTAGGTAAGATTTTTGTATGATTATTTTGAAAGAAGGCCAACTTCCTCTTTGAAGCTCCCAAACCAATGCAGCAGCTTTAAATGTATTTGAATGTTTAGCTAGACAGATATAGTAGCTAATATTTGCCAGAATAAAGACTTCAATAGCTGTTACTTTATCTTCTAAAAACTTTGTTCCATTATCTCTTATATCCTGTACTTTTTTCCATGTTGAAATATCTATGGAAATAATTGAAGTGATACTTATCTCTTTCATGAGGGAAATGGAATATGAACTTGTTTACTTTCAATGCATTATGTACCGTATTTTTCATCGTATAAGGCTGAAAATCTGGGTGCGTCTTATACACTGAATACAGCATTTTTTGCCTCACGAAACTCCGCCCCTTCACCAAAATGGCCATGCATACCTTTTAGAAGCCTTTCAGAGAGCTCCTGGGGACTAGGGAGGGCAGAAATGAGTGAAAAAATCCAATTTTTTGCCCCCCCCAGCCCCCAGCAGCACTCTATAAGCTTCTTAAAGGCTATCCATGCCTCTCTTTTTTTGACAAAAACGGGCCCGTTTTCGCAAAAAAACAGGACATTTTTTGCTCATTCCCCCTCCCCGCCCAGGAGTACTCTACAAGCCTCCTAAGGGATATTCATGTCCTTTTTTTAAAAAAAAAAATGGGCCCGTTTTCAGGAAAAACGGGCCGTTTTGGGGAGGTCTGCCGAGGTAAAAAACTTTTTTAAAAAATTTTCCTCTTCAAAACCTTGCTGCATCTTATATTCTGAAAAATATGGTATATGTTCTCCCTCCCCCTTCCCCCCTATGTGCGTGTGTCTGTCTATCTGTCTGTCTATCTAACACACACACACACACACACACACACACACACACACACACACACACATTCATTCATTCATTCAAATAAATGTTTAGGGCAATTTTATCATGTATTTTAACATATACACGCAAACATAAAATTACTATAAAACAAGCAATAACAAATATTATGGTAGCTGGTTAAAAAATTTGAGAATGGTAATATAATTTTAAATATATTGTTGACACATAATTTACAGTGTAAGTTGCATAATATCCATGAATTATGCTCAGTTTTTTAATTATGCTGAGTTTTAAAATACGTTGGGAAGATTTTTAAGTATTTTCAAATCTTTTAAATAGTTCCCGATAAAAGTCCTGTTCGACTAGAATTTTGATCTTTTAAAGCCAGGAATATTAAAGATAGTTAAAAATGCTGTTGGTAAAGCTCTTTCTATTTGTGTCCCAGATGTCAACTATTGTATTTTAATAGTGATATAAAGTAAATCTAGTCTTAAGAAGAAAATGTATTCATCAAATGTAAAACTATATCAGAAATTAACTTCTGAAATTTATTTTTGATATGTGTATGTATTTTTTTCCCTGAACCATGGAAAACTATTCATTGGATTTATTCCAGGAAAAATACTTACATTTCACATTGATAATTCATTCGGTTAATTAGACCTGAAAGGTATTCATGTATGCATGGGCAATAAATTAAGCATTATAAACCAGTTTTTCTGACCTTCATGACCTCCTTCATGAAATGCATGACCAGAATCTTTGTAATTCTTGTAGATATTTTATTGATCAGACATTTATTATATTACTGTTGTCACATTGGATTAAGCAATCAAACCAGTAGTAACAATATTTAGTAGAGTCAAATGTTTTCAATGTTATTTTATTTTTTACTCTATATATCTAAAAGTCATTTAGAAAATTCTTGTCAAGTTCTCTATTTACCCCCAGGGTCAACTAGAAATAGCTACCCAGATTTTTTTAAAACTTGGAAATAGAGTGTAGTGTTAACTTTTCAAAATAGAGGGTAAAACCACAGGACTTTCATTTCACAATAATTGTTTATATCCACGCTATTGGTTAAATTACAAAATGCTTCATAATGTAATGATCCTAGCTTTAGCTACATAAAAACCTTCAGAATGAAATGCTTGACTTCATATGGTAATCTCCCCCCACCCCGAACTTTCCTTTAAAAAAATTGTAAAGGGTTAAATTTGTTTAAAGAAAAATGTTTTGAACACTTTTTTTCTTAAGGGTACAAATGAAAATTTAGGATTTTTGTACACAAATGATGGGGAATAAAACCACCTACACTTCCTCCTTTTCCCCCCCTGTCAAATATGTAGTTTCGTACCATTCTAATTTTTGATGTATTTAGTGATCTGACACATTTTTCCCAGAATGCACTTACTTAAATTTTATGGCTTCCTTGGAAACATAAATATGATCCCCAACATTGAACAATACATCCTACCACTTGTAAAGTGTATTCTTAATGTCAGCTCCCTATTTTCACATAATACTAGATATATTACCACTTCTTTGTTTCTGCATTTGCATTCTGGATTACTATATTCTCTAATGGATCTTTAAATCCTATTTACAAAAGCAGATTTTATACATCATATGCAAAGCTACAGCACCTACAACAAAAGCAGGAAGCTTGTAGTGTAAAATCAATAATTCAGTCTAAGTTTAGCTACTTTTATCATTCAGCTATTCAATAAAATAATACAAGAATATAAATTTTAAATGTGTTTATTGTAAAAGAATTTCAATGTTCAAGTCATTTAATAGAAGAAAAATGCTAGTTCTAGATGGAAGTCCTTGTTATTCTATAAAATAATTGAGTGGCTGACAACCAGTAAGTTAAATCTTTTATCTGTGCAAGATAGTTTGTATTAACAGATTCAGGTGTTTTTAAGAAGATGAATTTATATGGTATGTTTGAGTTCTCTGTTTATTCTTCTGTCAGAGGATTGTAGATAAGATCTAGCTAGAGAACCAGGCAGTGATTATTGCTAGGCTTGCTTTAACCATCTTTATCATAAACATCACAAACATGTTTTTTTTAAACACAGTATCTTATTTTTATGGTGGTGTATACATAATGTTCAGACTTGGTCTTTTCCAAGTTTAACACGTTTCTCTAAATGTGTGGATTTTATTTGTCATCGAATCCTATTCGTAATACAAACCTGAGAACAGAAAAACGTGAAACTGACAGACCCAGATAAGTTGGCTGAGATACCTTGAGTGTCTTTGTATTATTGACAAGGTTTCAATTTCCTCTTCAGGCATAGTACCTGTACAGGAATGGTCTTTAGAGGAAGACTTGGTGAGAACTCTGTCTTTAAAAAGAAAAAAAAGATCACATTACAACATTGTAGATGCACCAATATTCTGGATTGCCAATCCAATCTAAATATCAGAAGTTCATAGTAACATCTATTCATTCTGCTCTAGTTTTGTTTCAAGAACTTTTACACAATTTTTAAATTTTAAAAGAATCAAAGAACATTCCAGACAAGAAAATAACAATGTTTGTGCTATGCTAAGTACTCAAAACATCATTCTTTGGACGTTAAGGCAGGACGTTGAGACTTGGGATAGATGCTTTGGAAGCTTCCTCAGATTTCTTGCTTGTAAATATGCAAAGAAAGAAACAAATAGTTAAGATGGCATTGAAAAGTGACTTACAACTGATCCTCATTATGAGCATTATAGTGTCTCCACAAATCATGTGTTCAAAATGTGAGCCCATGGCAAGTTGCATGCATTTATAATGGTTGTAGCATCCCAAGGTCATGTGCTAACCATTTGCAACCTTCCCAGGCACCCTTCAACAAGCGAAGTCAATGGAGGATGCAGGATTTGCTTAACATCCATGTGATTTGCTTAATGACTATGGCAAGAAATATTGTAAAAGAGGGCATGGCACATTTAGTGACCACATTTCTTAACAACAACCCTAACCCTAATCCCAATTATACTCATAGGTTGAGGACTATCTATCAAACCTATATGTGCATGTGCACATATGCACATGTGAAGATGACCCAGGAGAAGATTTGAAGAAGCTCCTCAAAGCTGTCCATAGGATGTTGCTGTATCAATGCATTGGTTTATCAGTTCAAGAGAGATTCATTCTTTCCAGTACATTCCATGAAATACTGTTAAAATTTTTGCACAGCCGTAAAAACAATAATAAAGACAACAGCAGTAATAAAATAGGTAGAGATAACTAGGTAAAGGAACTCTGGCAGTTTGTGAAAAAATATTCTAGTAGCTAGTTTGGTGTGTTTAAGACTCCAAACTAAAAACCGGGAATTGTGAGTTTTGGGCATAAAACCAGCTGGATAACCTGGACCAGCCTCTCTTAGGCCTAGGAAAAGCAATGGCAAACCCCCACCAGATGTTGTAAAAGATCACCCATCCACATACACACACCAAACTAGCAAGAAAACTGCAGGGAATAGTTCAGGCAGTCACCAGGAATCAAAGGTGACTTAAAGAAACAAAGATAAATACAGGTAGTCCTCAATTTACAACCATGATGGAGCCTGCCCACCATGGTAATAAGTTGTGATGTTGTAAAACAGATCAGTCACATTAACTGACCAGATTTTATGACTTTTGTGGTAGTCACTAAGTGAATCACCATGCTTATTAAGAGAAACCATGATTGGTAATTCAAGCAGATGCTAGGGATGTAATTTTGCAGAGAACTGGAAGTGCTAGTTTTCAGCAAAGCCAATGAATGCAGGTTGCTGCAGATGACCATAACTGTGGCCATGTTGCCAAGTGCCCAAAGTTGATCACATGATATGGTTGACCATTGGAACTTCAAATCTGGGTTGAAAGTAACCCTAAGGTACGTCTGTCATAATTTCAAACAGTTGCTAAATGACTGGTTGTAAATCAAGGACTACCTTTAGTCTATATTTTTAAAAACTGCTTAACATTTAAAGCAAAAAAATCAAGGAGAGAGTTCCTGTTTCTGCAGACTTGGGAAGGAGAACACTGCTCAGAGATCTGAGACTGGAAGAACGTGGTTAGCCCCACTCAATATACTTTAAGCAAGAGAATAATCAGAATCCAGTCCATGACCTGACAGGATGGGTAATTTGTAAACATTGTTTCCAATGTTTATAATGAATTGTTTGTATCTG